GCCGGGATCACGAGTGTACATTCAGGACCATCTGAAGTTAACCCAACGCCAGTGGCATCGGCGCCGGCACCTGTGCCTGTTGACACAGCACCTGCCGGCACGATTCAGGTACGCACATTCGGCGCTCATGGCGCACAGTCAAGTGACAACTCTCACAGCAGCACCAAACGCCAGACTGCAGTCGCTCAACACAACCCATGGTAAATCGAGCTGGTTCTAATAGGGTTTGAATACTGATGACTCGCTTAGCGTCCAAGGCCGAGGCCCAGACAGAAGACGATTCCCTCAGTCGCAGCTAACCAAGCAGGGAATGAATCCGGCAGAGAGGCGATTGCGCCAGAACAAACCTCAGAGCCGACTGTTCAACAATTTGATTACCTCCATGATGGCAGTGAACTCGTTCGGCGCTCTGTGATCAGTACTGGGGACGATGATGATGATGATGATGATGATGACGACAACGACAACGACGACAGCTTCATCTTTGATCCTGCTGAATGTGCAAAGTACGTCCCTGCCCAGTGTTCCGAAGACGAGACAGAGTATCCAGAAACACTGTCGCCTGACCACTCTACTGTAAGTCCTCCGCTGCGTCTTCATTCGGCGCCTCCACATAACATGATGCCACATAGGCCAACGCACCACAGGAGTTCCCTTCATATGTCGCCACCGATGAATATACGTTGGCCCTGGGACTCGGAGATCTCCTTTCGGCGCAACCTGACGAAGGTCATCCAGGCGCAGGACCTTCAGATCATGCCGACTGCTTCCGCTTGGATTCACCACCTCCACCCGATGATAATGACTTCACCTTTGATCCGAAGGATTATGAAGACTATGTTCCATCTGAGGATCCTCTTGAGAGCCCCAGCAGCAACACATCTATCCCGCTCAATGACCCCACAGTCAACGATGCTTCGGGCACTCATGCGCCGATCTCGGCGCCTATAGCGACAATTCTAACACATGTGAACACTCTGCTGCAGGGCGCCGGCGCGCCATTTGGAAACCTCTCGAATGCCTCTGAGCAAGCAGTGGACAACCCCGGCGCTCATGACGGCGGAATGGACAACGGCGTGTTGCGCTCCACAGGTGATCCCTTAACTGGCGTCAAAACAGCAAGTCTTGCACAGGTCCCAGGCGCAAGTGCACCAGCAACAGCTGCGTCACCTCATGAGCGTGGTTGCATAGCGCCTCCTCCCAATTTCACGGCGCAAGAAGGCAACGGCGGGGGGAGCGACTCCGGCAACGATAGCGAGAACGAAGTACTGGACACTTTGATCGATGATGCATCATTTGAGATCAGTGCTCCTCCACCACTTGCAATGCCAAAGTCAACCAACGTTGATAGTAAACGCAGAAGGCGGGCAAGTTCAGCTACGAAGCCTGTGTCGACCAAGGTATGGTGGGCGCTCTCCATACAGCCTTTACTTACTATTTGGCATCCTCAGAAGCCGAGGTCAACCCGTAATAGAGAAGCCATTCAAGACGCTGCGCCGGAAGAAGAAACACCTGAGCAGGTATATTGATTTCGTTCATCATACGCGGCGCATGTTTGATGAGTTTCCACCAGGCTCAGCGTTCCAGCAAGCGAAGAAGGGCACCAACAGACAGGCTTAAATCCTACATAGAGGGCTCAAAGGAGGTAAACCTGCCGTATTATGATCCAGCAAGGAGGAGGTAGAGGCATGGAAGGGTGACCAATCGCGCCGGAGAAATTAAATCCAAGAATGATATTACATTCATATAGATGCTCCGACATTGTAGCTACACATATACCTCACCGGCGCAATAAATGGAGGACAATTGAGTGTGTTCACACAGTTTCCTTTCCATCCCATCGATCTCCTTGCGCTGAACATGCTCTGGGTGACAATAGAGGGGCCCATTACAGCAGCCATGATGATTCCAGAGACGACGAGGGGAGGGGATGAGAGAAATCGAATGAAAACAATGCGCAAAGCGCTGGAAAAGAAGGGGGAAAATAGTGAGCGACGAGCAAATGACAATGTCTATGAGGCTGAAGGCCAGACGCCGAAGGCCTATTGGCCCAGTAGATGTACAAGTTGAACATCAGCTGCCGGCCCCTGCTCTGTCGGCGCGTTGGTCGCTAGCGCCCCCTCCACTGTTCTGCCGCCCTGCCGACCACTGCCTGTCACCCTGTCACCCTGCTCTGCCGGCGTGTTGGTCCCTAGCTCCCTCGCTGCCACTGTTGTTCTGGCATGAATGGCCGACTGCGTCATGTTCCTGCGGCGGGATGGAGGGGCCCATTACAGCAGCCATGATGATTCCAGAGACGACGAGGGGAAGGGATGAGAGAAGTTGAACGAAAAGGTTGCAAAAAGCACTGGAAAAGAAGGAGGTCAAGAAAGGTTCTGTATCAATGGCCTAGAATTAATGGTCAGTTCCGCTAGGTGAGGGTTGAATTCACGCCGGAATGAATGGGGGTCGACATGATAGTAAGGTAGATGTGGGGGAGGATGTTGCTGATATTGGTTGTAGGACACACCTGGTTGAGAATATTGAGGGCCGGTATACGACCCCTGATACGAGTTCTGATATACAGACATCGCCGGAGTGTGTCTGGCACCTCTGCACTGCTCCTATGCCCTCGGCGCAGCAGCCCAGTGGCCTTGATGCGCTTCACAGCATTCCAGGACACTTGGGTAAAAAGAGGTAAAACTTGCCTGTTGTGTGAGTTGAACAAGCAGGTTCTCACCGAGAAATCACTCAATCCACCCTTAGAAACGGACGGGGCTGAATGCTTACCCTCAGCAGAGATCCAGAATGTTCCCTATGAAAGGACATCGTCGGAGACTTATGCCGAATTGCAAGTCGTTTTTTGTCGAGCAGGTTCTCACCGAGAAATCACTCAATCCACCCTTAGAAACGGACAGAGCTGAATGGGGGAGGATGTTGCTGATATTGGGTGTAGGACACACCTGGTTGAGAATATTGAGGGCCGGTATATGACCCCTGATACGAGTTCTGATATACGGACATCGCCGGAGTGTGTCTGGCACCTCTGCATTGCTCCTATGCCCTCGGCGCAGCAGCCCAGTGGCCTTGATGCGCTTCACAGCATTCCAGGACACTTGGGTAAAAAGAGGTATGTGTAATGCATTGAGATAAGGTACAGTGCAAGAACATCCACAAGAAAACCGAAATGTGCACTGTGGTTGCCAGGCAATTATTAGATTTAGATAAGCTCAGCAGCGTTGACCGGCATTTCATTGCGGCAGCGTGGGCCGGGGTCACATATATTGCGCTTGGACCGAGCAGATGGTGTCGTACTGTGACGGCGCTCCTAATTCACACACATTGGCAAGGCATTGGGTCAGTACACAATGCATTGAGATGTATAGTGCAAGAAATTACAACGTGATTATTAGATTTAGATAAGCTCAGCAGCGTTGACCACCATCGGCGCCGGTCCATGCTTTACAAAGCCATCCAGTAGGCGGCTTTATGCCTTGTAGGCGCCGACCAAGCGATATGTCCAAACTCCTGGCGTGCATATAACAATCTTGCAGGTAAATTCGAGGTACAAATTGTCGTGGTACAAGGTGGTAGTACTTAGATTGTTGTAGCCCGAAGGGCTAGTAGAATACGATAGTACGCGATTGCAATCCTCCACTGCTCCAACGTTGTGTCCCGCACCGCATCGTAATTGCCGAGCCTGTCAGCAGGCTGGAGGAAGCTACTCAATGTCGCAGTGATGGCGTCAGTGGATCCCTGATAGTTGCCAATGACGTCTTCAAGGATGGCATTTGCAGAAGCCGGCGGGGCATCGGGGTTTCTAGACCGACCATTCTGGACGAGGGCGTGCAAGAAGTAGTCCATCAGCCTGGTCAGCCCATCACTATCCGGCAGCTCCAACAAGCGGGTGAACGCCGTGCGCCGCCACTCCCTCGCTGTCAAACCAGTCGGCGGTGCATTGGCGTTGCCCATAGGCGCGAACACATTCGGCGCACCATCAGCTGGGATGATACGAGACGCCCCTTCCACAAAGTCTATTACGCGCCGGGGTACGTTTCAGCCCTCGGCGCCGCGAATGGTGATATACTTACCATGGATGCGCCGCTCCTCCTCGATTTGCCCGGCACTTGGTGTGGATCGAATGTCGAGTGAGACGTGGCGCTCACCGGCGCCGCTTTGGGTGGTACGGTCGAGGTCTGCCGCGCCTTAGCATGCGCCGGCGATTGGAGAGAAGATAACTGACCTGAAAACGATGGTGTGGCATCGCCGGGTGCTGCTACCTCCTGGATGTCAGGCGCAAAACTGTCATCACTTGTTTGATCCATTGAAGCGGCGGCGTATGCTTCTACTATACGAATAGTGAGACAAGTCGCCTAACCAGAGCAACTGAAGAAGACTTACGTTCTTCAGTGCTGAAGATGTTGGCTTGGGCTTCGGGATCGGTAGGATCGCTGTCGACTTGGGGCACGTACTCTTCAAACGCAGAGGGCGAAAAAGAGTCCTCCTCGTCGCTAGAGCTACTGTCGCCGAGGGACTCTTCGGGGCCACCCGCCGCTGCAACGGGCTCGGCGGGCGGAGTCACATCATCTATGTGATCGAGTAAGTCATGCTTAACCTTCATAAAAACATGCGCACAGATGGGGGCAGCCGCCCTGCCACGCCCCCGACGTCCTGAGCGCTGTCTGGCGCCGCGCCCGCGGCCACGGCCACGGCGGGGGCCTGTGATTGCACATGTGGGTGTGCCGTTTCGAAAAGATATCATGTCTTACCATCACTCGTGTTCATCGCCTCGTCGTTCTTGTGACGAGGTGCCATTGTAAGTGATGCTGTTGCCAGAGTAGAAGTGGTAATCCTTTTGGTTCATCCATGCGGCGGCGCTGAATATATCTGAAGTTCTGGGACCATGCACATGACTAGAGAACATCATGGAACTTTCCACCACAGCCACGCATATTCCCCAGCTGGACCCAAATTTAACCGAGCCCAACAGCGTGCTCCTCGCAGCCCTCAACCCCAGCCCACCATGTCTGCAAGCTCCAGCGCCCAAGCCGCCACCTCCAACGCCGCCGCCTCCTCCGTAATTCCCGCGAACGCCGAGCCGCTCCCATCGTGGTGGCCCACGCGCTTCATGGACAAGGATGACGATGACCAGAGGCAAAACTTCCTGGACATCGTCGAGCTCCGCATACTCGATCTTTATGATTATCTCAACGTGCCGGAGGTAGACCGCCCTCGATTTGAGCACAACTGGAGAGTTGAATGGGTAAGTATGTACAACAATCTGAATATGCACACTAAAATTTGTTCAGGGCAACTTGAACCCCATACTTTGCCGACTATTCAATCAGATCAGCAAAAATGGCGCCAAGGGCAGTATACGCTACCATACAATGGGGATCATGATTAGGGGCAACAACGTTCCCCCTGTTCTCCCCAGACTTCAAGAATATGAAACACGCTAGAGTTAACTTCCGCCCGCCGAAGAAGAGGAACGAGATTGGAGATAAGTGGTGGGCGACGGGCACGACGCTGGTGAGCCAGACCTCCTTCAGATTGTGGCGGCGTTCTCAGTCCGGCGCAGAATGACCCCATCCCCCCGCAACCGAAGACGAGGTCTTCCGACAAGAAGTCGAAGACGACACCTTCGACGTCGTCTTCTGCATCCAAGCCGGCGCCGACTACTACTTCCCATCCGGCGCCGACCACTTCCCATCCGGCGCCGACCGCCCCCAACAATCCGTCAACTTCATCTGCGGCGCCGGCGCCAGCGCGCCCAACAACAGCTCCTGTTTCGTCAGTTTCGCCCTCGCGCGCGACGGCATCGGCACCAAGGACGCCAGCGGCCCCCACTCCAGCGCAATCCCCAGCTAGCCCCCCTGACGATGCGAGCCGAGCTTCCCAACGCCGATGTCGAGGAGGAGGAGGAGTCGCCAACGCCCAGGCGCCCCAGGGTGATGCTGACACTACCCAGAATCCCCAGTACTCCTCCCGAAGACGATGGCAGGCCTGCAGGCAAGACACGGGCGCCGGCGCCGCCAGCTAGCTCTGCTGTCCCGATCCAGGCGCCGGCACCCACGAGCGCCGGCGCTGCCACTAGCACCAGCACCAACCAGGTATGTGGTGCATTGTCGTCATACGCCGGCGCTCATTTTGTGTGGTAGGCCGCGCCGAGCGGTTCTGCCAGGGCAGCACGAGACGGTATTCCGGCGTTCGATCAGTACCGTGTTCCACATCGCTCATTGTTTCGGACAGATTGGAATCGACAAGGGATTTCGGGATTCAACGTCAGTGTTCCAACAAGCGATCAGGAAGCTTTCGATGTCTACATTCAGAGGGTAACTGACCACCTCGGGAGGATCCACGATGCCCTTGTCAGGCGCGAGGTGCTGATCAATAACGCCCTCGTTGATCTTGACGACAGCGTGGCCCTGATGCGTGAAGAGTTGGGGGCGTTTAAGAACGAAATGAGGGAACAGCTGGCGGAGATCAAGCTGAAGGGGTCCGAAGGTATGTGATGGGCGCCGGCGCCGGCGCCGGCTTCTCGCTCGAACCCAGCTGACAACCCCGATGGAATGCAGAGGAATCCCGCATGGCTGTAGATCCGGCGCTGTGAACCCTCTACGTATTTGCATCCATGATCAATTTCTACGCATTTTATGTCGCTTTTCTTTGACTTTGTAACAGTACCACTACCGCAATGACAATGTTTGAATGCCTGCAGACACGCTCGACGACCTAAAATTGACAGCTTCTGGCCCTCTTTCAGTGAGGTCAGGCATTCAGTCCCGTCCGTTTCTAAGGGTGGATTGAGTGATTTCTCAAGGAGGACCTGCTTGTTCGACCCACGCAGCAGGCAAGTTTTACCTATCCATGGCCGTGACCGGCGCAGGTCATTGGGCTTGACGCGCGTCACGTGGTCGCCGCCGCTCCCAATCCAAAGTACGCCCTGGACCTCGGCGAGGGTATTCGGCGCCGCTCACGTGATAATCCTGTCGCCCAAATTATCATTCGCCGAGGTGAACAGCCACCATGATGTCCAGCTGGGCATTTACCAGGTGAATGGTGCGGGAAATCCCAAAAGCACCTGCACAACCCTTCGGCGCTGGGTGCGTGATTCATGGGATGTGAACGCCGTGAACAATTTGAAAGGTTTGAGCGCCGGCGGCGCAGCCCCCATGCCTGGACGGCGCAAGCTTGGGGATTCATCCCAGTGTTTGCTTTGAATCACGTGTTGGACGCCGGACATCAATTGGTCGTATCTACGACCGGCGCTCATCATTTGCGATAAGTGTGTCTCCCATCGGCGCGTGGATGTGATGTACCTGGTAACGGATGAATTGCACTCGGCGCTACCCACGTGACCATCCAACTCACTAACAATCACGCGCCGCTGCAAGGATATA